ATTTATTTGAAATTAACTTGTGGCTGAAAAGCATTACGGTTATAGAAATTTATTTCCGATGAAAGTAAAAAATAATATAAAAATCTAAAATCTATAGTTTTTGCAAACCCAAGCTAAACGTTTGAATTATTAAGCTATAGAATTTATCGACTGTCAATTAGGGCAACCGTTCAAACTTTGGAAACTTTAAGAAAAGCGCAGAATCCGTAATAAACTAAATTTAATTTCTGACCAAATTTTTTTACGTTCAACTTTTATCACACTTCATTACCAGTTCGCAGAAAACTTTCTTTATTATAACAGAGACAGTTATAAAGATGATTTTAGTTTGACTTAAAAATGTTTATTAAAATGTGTATACTAAAAATAGAAAATAGTTAATGAAATTGCTAAAACAATCGCTTGGATTTTTTTTTAATTTTGTCAAAATTTTTTTTCGTTCTCTTATTCATTTCAGTTTAATTGACCTTTCAGCAGCATTACTTTTAATTCTTCTTAGTCTAAATAAAGCTTTCAATAATGTTTTTTTGTTTATTAATTAACAAACTAATTATACTTTAATATTTAATAAACTTTCTAACTCTACTTTTATCCAGCGGGCGCATTATAGTAATTGAACTTAACCATTTTCGAAGTTCTCTTACTTTTCAACTTACCGAAGAACAAGTTTTTTCCAAGCAAAATTGAAAAAGTTCAAAATAATCTACAAATAAATTTTGAAAATGAAGGAAAATTGCATGCAACCATAAATTAAATTAATGGCAGTTTAATGTTTATGTATAAATTTAAGTTATAGCAAAACAAGAATCATTTTATTTATAGGAACAAGGTTACAAAATGTAAGTTGTATGTTTTAAGTACTAGATAACTAAAGTTTGTTCAACTGAAAACAAATTAAGTTTAGTAATTTAGTTTTGTTATGCTTATAATTTAAAATACACGTGTAATTATAATTCCTTTTAATACATAACTAATACAAAATTAAATTATTCTATTAAGTTCGGGTTTCCTTATTACATCTCATTAAAAGTTAAGATAAAGTTACATGAAACTTCACAATTAAGAAACACTGGTTGATTAAATGTTATATTAAATTCTTTAGAACTTAGAAAACTAATTCTCAGCTACTTTAGTGAAAACTATAGTTTTTTACGTAAAAAAAGTCTCTTGGTAAAGATTACTACGAGTAATGGTTAATATTAAATCCGTAATTATATTAAAATATTACACTTACGACGTTACTTAATATAAACTATTTCTACTTAATCATTTAATAATTCTGATATTTTTCATTTTATTGATTTTATTTAAAGCACTGTTTATTAAAATGTTGTATCCTATGTTATAGGGCTTTTTTCTCACTACAATTTCCTGTCTCACAATGTACCGTTTGTGTCCGGGAAGGTTCATAGTTTCATAGTTGACGATTTTCGAAAGAAATCAGAATTATTTCGTATATTTTTCATTTTATTGATTTTATGTAAAGCACTGTTCGACATCAAAATCAAATTTCTGATGTCAAAAAACTCCCAGATACCAATTTTCAACCAAATATTGACGTTACTTCAGAAATTATTTGGAAAAAATCGACATAAAAATGAAACTTTTACACCCTGTATCTCCGAAACCAAGCATTTAGGACATACATTTATACGAACTTTTTTACTTATTTTTATGTCCAGAATATGCTGCCAAAGTTTCCGGAATACAGTTCGGACCACCCTATATTTCATGCGCTTGGGAAAATACTTGCTATTCTTTTTCTGTTCTGAGCGTAATGATTGGACTCATCGTATACTCGAAAATCGGCACCCAAACCCAGATATTAGGCATACCTTGTATAAACTCAGTAGTTAGGATTTAGATTAGTTAACACCTGATAAGGGTCAGTGAAACATCTGATCGAAACGTTTTGTAGATTTATAAGTAAAGACAATGGAAGTCCAAAATTCTTTTAGTTTTAATACTGAATTTTTGTCTACCACATTCAAAGAAATATTTTATATTATTTAAAAAAAAATGGTGCTTCAACAATTCACTAACTATATATAAATGAATCCAAAACAGAATTTATAAGATTTAATATAAAAAAGCAAACAAAAGATTTAAATATAAATCTAAACGAGCAAAAAATAAAAGAAATATCTGAAGTCAATTACCTCGGCATTAAAATTCATATCAATTTAAACTGGGACACACATATAAATAATTTAAAAAAAGAAAACGCCAGAACAATTATTACCATATGTCGAGTAATACTACAGAAAAAATCTTAAACATTGCTACAAAGACAACGAAATAAAGTACTAAAAATAATATTTAACCTAGATAAACTAACACCAACAGAAAAAGTATACCAAAAAACAAAAGAACTAAACAAAAGACAATTAATAAACTATCATAATATATTACTTCTACACAAAATCAAAAATAAATTAATAAAAACAAACATTTCTTTAAAAACTAACAAACAAATACACACTTACGAAACTAGAAGCAAATCAGACATCAGAACAACAAAGACAACTAAAAAAAAACGTTCACAAAAACTAACAACAGAAACTACCAATATATAATAATATGTTACCAAAAGAATTAACACAATTAAATTATAGGAAATTTAAGAAAAAAATTAACAACATGATATTTGAGAAGAGCGTATAAACGTAGACGACATAGACCAATTTATAGAAGAAATGAAGAATGCCTTCGATGTCATCTGCCCAGGGAGTCTTAAAAGTCTTCAAACTGTTGCAGATGAAGAAGGGCGCAACCAACAACTACCACGAAGATAAAGCTTAATAATATTATTGAATTGTATATTTTTAAATAGTTGTATATATTTTAGTTAATAAATATTTTATATTTAAAAGAATAGTTTGAGATTAATCATATCGTTGTTAACTAAAATTGTCTTTTATTTCGTACGACTACTAAAAATTTAAATGACTTCATTCCATCAGACAAGTAACTTTTCATAATTCACCGACAAATAAATAGCAAACTCTTCAGCCAGAAAATTGCGTTTCTAATGTAAGGAGGGAGAAATCGTTTTAGAGGATTTAACCAAAAATTCGGTTCATTCCGGAATGTTTATGTATCTCAAGTGGCGACAAATGAATGGCTTCTTCACTGTTCTCTTTCGAAAACAGTTGAAATGTAAAAGTCGATTGTGTAAATTTATACATGAAGAACGCCGTTCTATTGTTTTCGAGTTTGAAATGGAAATAGATTTAAACAAGTTGTTTAAAATAGATAGATAAAAATAGGATAAGACTTCAGCAATAAATATATTCTTCATATGTTAAATAGTACTATAGTCTGTGAAACGATTAACTTTGAATTTGACAGTTCCCGCGGGCTTTCCTAGTGCTAATTTTATTAAGTTAGCAACTTGCGGCCATGCTGATGCAATGCCGTCTCTAATAGAACAGCCACGAATTTTATGACGTCACTCTAGTTGGATACTACGGATTAATAAATATGTTGTAGAATACATGGAAAACATAATTATTCCTCGTATATGTAATTTTATGGATTATATGACTAATAAAATAAATAATCATATGAGACAACACTGATGAAGGCTATAAACGTTAGCTATAACGTTTTTTTTTAAACCAAAAAAAATTATGAAAACTTAATCAGCGTTTTTCCCGAACCTAAATCCCAAGAAAATCAAAAATTTTAGAATAATTTTACATATAAAATGACAGCGATCTTTATTTCATAGCCATCGCTGACGCCTTTTTTCTATGATATTGTATTATTTGCAAATATAATTTTTCGAACATTGATACTTGCAAAATATACATATAAATTTTGTGAATGCAAATAATAATACATCACTATTAGTAGATATTGAATGTTTTTTGTTAAATTAGATCGATTTTCAAATCCCAAAATTTAAAATATATTTTACATTTTACCCATTATCTTATGTACCTATTCATTATTTGTATATTGTAAAACATTTGCTGCATTTGTATGGTTCATAGTTTATTTGCCAAAGTATTTATTACTATAAATAGGTATATACATATTATATTTATTAACTGTATATTATGTATATTTCATGTAAACTATATCATTTTTAAAATACAAACCAAAAATACGAGGAATAATTTTATTATGTTTTCCATGGATTCTACAACATATTTATTAATCCGTGGTATCTAACTAGCGTGACGTCATAAATCTCGCTCCGAGGCTGTTCTATTAGAGACGGCATTGGGCTGATATTTAGAAATGTCAAAAGCTGATGACATTTTACTTTTGTCAATTATGACATTTCGCGTCGATTTTTGCAAGAAGAGGAAGAACTGTCACTTGTTTCATTATTTTCCTTTTCTATTTCATGAAAGTAAAAAGAGTTACCTATCTGATTCGTTCAGGCACTCATTTTAAAGAATATCAGTAACTTTTTGGATAGAGGGATTTGATATTTGCCATGTTGGTAAAAAATAACGGTCAAAATTCAAAGTTATTCATTTTATAGACTATATGAAAATTTTTGTTAGAATGCCGAGTTATTGTGGCTGTAAAACTCGGAGGAGGAACACTATTAAAATGGATTAAAGACTTATTTAATCTATGCCTTGAAAAATGAATAATCCCGTCTCAATGGAACAACGCCATAACGATACTTCTCCATAAAAAGGGCGATATCACCGAGCTTGAAAATTATAGACCGATAAGCCTTCTTTGTCACTTGTATAAGCTGTTTACCAAAATCATTGCCAAACGTCTCGAACGTAAACTAGATTTCTATCAACCAAGAGAACAGGCAGGCTTTAGGAAAGGTTATGAAACAAACGATCATCTTCAAGTAATTAAAGTCCTGATAGAAAAATCTGTGGAATACAACAGGCCCCTAGCATTGGGGTTCGTTGATTTCTAGAAAGCATTTGACACAGTAGAATTAACATCAATAATAGCAGCATTGGAGCAGGGAAGAGTAGATTATAGGTATACAAGGCTTATAGAATACATATATAGTAATGCCACCAACTGTAAAACTTCACGAAACAACAGATAAAATTGAGGTAGGCAGAGGAGTTCGACAAGGGGATACTATTTCGCCTAAAGTTTTTACAGCTGTCCTTGAATACGCAATGAAATCACTCTCTTGGGAGAATAGGGGCATAAATATCGATGGTGAAAGGTTGACACATCTATTCGCAGATAACATCGTCCTTGTCTCACATAACATCGGAGATTCAAAGCAGATGCTCGAAGAATTAGTGCAGGCCTCATTAAAAGTCGGTCTCCGGATAAATACGAGTAAAACGCAAATAATGACAAACTTAGTGCTGACACAGAACATCAGAATAGGTGACGCCGACATAAAAGAAACACATATATACAAATATCTCGGGCACGAAATACAAATCGGAAAGAACAACCAGGCACACGAGATACAGCGCGGAATAGGTTTGGGTTGGGCTGCTTTTGGCAAACTGCAGGAGACCTTTAAAAGTGATATACCCATATGCTTGAAGAGGAAAGTTTATGAACAATGCGTCTTGCCGGTAATTACATATGGAGCGGAAACTCTGACATTAACGAGAAAGTCAGCAGAAAATTTAAGAGTAGCCCAGAGAGCCATGGAGAGAGCCATGCTTGGAATAACTAAAAGAGACAAAATTCCTAATAACACTATCAGACAAAAAACCAAAATTAAAGACATAGTGGAACACGTAACTCGAATGAAATGGAGATGGGCAGGTCATGTGGCGAGAACATCTAAAGACAGGTGGACTAGAAGATTGTTAAAATGGCGACCTCGAGCAGATAAACGTAGCAGAGGCAGACCACCGACACGCTGGACCGATGATGTAAAGAGGATTGCTGGAAATTGGATGATGACGGCCCAAAATCGAGAGACATGGAGAAATATGGAGGAGGCCTACGTTCAGCAGTGGACAACGATGGCTACATGATGATGATGATGATGATGCAGCGTTATTCTGCAATGTCCATAAATGTTTTATTTGTAATTTTAATGACGTAAATTTTTTCGAATTGATTTGTATTGTATGATATTTTTTTATTATTTGTATATCTTTTGTGCTTTTGTCTGTTTTGTAAATGCTTTGTCGATGAAGCCATTTTGGCTTTTTGAACAATAAAGCGTTATTTATTATTATTATAGTATAACTTAGCAAAATTATTCATAATAAAATAAAGAATTTTCCTTAAATTCTGTAGTTAATTCTTATTGAACTAAATACTATTAAGAGTATTTATTAATTTCTTTTGGTATACATTTATTACTAGAAAATCTAAATAGAGATTTTGTATTTATTCATAATATACATTTATTTACAATTCATATCTTTTATACAGGGTCAGTTTTCTACAATGTTCTCTATGGGTATTTCAAAAATTACTGGCTTCATGGCTTACTAGATATTTCGAAAATGACAAATTTCAGGTATTTTAAAAATTGTCCCTAATTCCTTTATAATCTATTTTAGACAAAAAGTTTTCAGATAAAAGTTGTAGATAATCACATCCTTAATGAGATTGTGTCCTCCGTTTTTTTCTAAAGCCCTTTTTGACATATGACACAAACATATGTTTTTTTTAAATTGAAACCATAGTTGGCCATGACTTCATAGAAAGCGCAATTTTTGAAGCTTTTCAGCGATATAAGATATAATATGGATTTTTCGAAAAATTACTGAATTATAGCCAATTACTATCTTTCTTGAATAATTTCACTTATTTGGTATGGTATTCTTATTCTGTTATGAGTTATAACTTTACCGGTCGGTCAACGTATCCTCGAAAATGTATGGTCAAGAAAAGTTAAATCAATAATCCTACACGCTTCTCTTCATTTGAAAAAATCATATTTACAATTTTTGTTTATTTTAATTTAAAAAGTTTTTGTTTTTCATGGCTAACTAAATGAAATTGTTTAAAAATGAGAAGAATTCACTATAACTCAGTTATTTTTCGAAAAATAACATATCATAGCTTATATCGCTGAAAAGTCTCATGCACGCTAGTTTTCTAAAAATTCTTTGTTGTTCTATTTTCCAATTTTCCACATTTTTCAAAATGAAAATGTTAGAGAAGCCTTAGCACACGTAAACAATAATCATTGTTCCACTGCAGCTTAAATTCCCTAAGGACATTTGTCTATAACGTAAAAAGCTTGTTCTTTTACCTTAGGCGATGGAGAGATTGGTATAATGCCAACAACAAATGTGAATGTTGAAGTCTCAATTACCTCTGGCAAGTTAAAAGCGGTTAAAAACAGTCTAGTTTCGATAGTACTAGAGTATGAAAAATTAAATTATATATTGGAAGTAAAAAAGTTCTGATTTATAAAGCGTTTTAAAAAGCATTTTTATTTGTAACATTTTTATTTGAGGTTTACAGAGTTTTAATGAATAAATTCAAACAGTTTCAGGGATTTATTGATTGGTTTTAACCCATATAAGAATTATTCTCTTAAGTTATAGAGTTTGTTCATTTTCAATGTGAAAATGATGGCCATGGTAAAAAACTTTATTTACCACATGTGTAATACTGACATTACTGACTTTTAAAAAATTTGAAAGTGTCAAATTATCTACATTTCTTCCCTCTTTCCTTTCCCTCGCCCATTTCCCTCACTCGGTTTTTCTTATTTTTGTTGTAGTTAATAAAGATATTACAAGAATATTTTGCTTAATTAAATGAGGCGTTATTTAAGCAAAATATTCTTGTAATATCTTTATTAAGTACAACAAAAATCAACATCAACAAGAAGATTAAGAATAATAATTAAAGATTTTAATACATTTATTTGTTGATGGTAAAAATGCTAGACTTCTTTGGCTTAAAACCTCCATTCTGGCGTTTTAAAAAAGCGACGGGTTTCTGATATTTTGATATGCCAGTCTTTTCCCTTAATTCTAGCATTGTCCGTATCATCCTGTACGTAGCCCAAAGAGTAGATGGATTTTTCTGCCTTGCCATGTCGCTAAAATATGCCATCAACAGTGTCTCCGAAGCAATATTCTCAGCATTTCTTTCGGCATACCATTTTTCGTATACTTTCAAAGCCATTTCATTTCGCCCCCTACTTTTCTCTGGAAGTAAACTGGCTTCTGCTCTTTTTGCAGCTTCTGTAAGTTCTGGTGGAGTACCAATATTAAAGTAGTCTTTATTATCAGAACTTTCCGACAATATTCTGGCTTTCTATGTTACATGAATTCGAAAACGCGAACGCGAAATTCGAAACTGTCACTTAGTTGTTTGTTTCGCTGTTGAAGGTTCGCGCCATAACAACCACTGAAACCGGTAACTATAAATATGGAAATGCCAAAACAGAAAACGACAAATTTTCGCATGTTTTTTTTTCAAAATAAAATACTGTCTCTGTTTTTTAATTAATGATGTGGTTGTAAATAAAATAGTATACAAACCTCGGAGGAAAGTTTTCATTATTGTCTCTATCGTTAATCTCGACGCTACGCGTCTCGATTAAGGATCAATCTTTCGACAGTAATGAAACACTTCCTCGGTATGTAATATACTATAATGATAAAAAATCAAGAACAATGTCCAAACAACTGTCAAAAAAAAATCTTTATTAGTGACCGGTTTCGGCAATTTAACAAAGACACTCTGAATCAGAGTGTCATTGTCTCTATTCAGAGTGTCATTTTCTATCGAATAAAGCAGAGAATAGGTACATTAAAGAAATGCTAACTTCATGTTAAAAAATGGAAACAGACGCCACCTGGTGTCGCCTGGCAGTACTAGCTAAATTGTGGGGAATTGAAGGGGCGGCGCTTAAAAGAGGGGAAATTTAAAAAAAAATATTTTTATAAGTATCACTGACTTACTGTTTAAAGTTAATAAACATATTTTTTATTACTTTAATATAATTTAATGTATTAAAAAATATGTCTATTAACTTTACACAGCAAATCAATGATATTATTAAAGACTTATTATTTTCAGAGAAAATTCATAGTAAATAAATTACACATTAGTAAACAATATCATTTATTTTTTAGAGCTGCGATTTATATTACAATAATATTGAAATATATATATTTTTTAACAATGAAAAAGAATATCCCGGAACCTGAAAAGAAAGATGATCAATTAATGACTTAAATTAGTTCAAAATACATTTTGCAAATAACTAGTGAATTGGAAAGATAAACATACTATTAAAAAGACATTTTAGTCGTATGTTATCATCTATTTACTGATAATACATTACATAAGTATATAATAGGTAAATAACATGCATAAGGCACTATGATACAACTACCTGTATCATGATAACACACTAATATGACAAAAAATATATGCTAATTTAAATTCCTTTAATGATCTAATGAAACACTATCTAGCCTCAATGCATGCCATTCCAAAGGCAAAAAATACTGTTATACCAAATAAATATAAGCTGAATAAAACATAAACCAAGCCAACGTGCATAAACAACCAAAAAATGCATCAAAAAATACTTTTATCAGATCATACCCTTGGATATATTATGTATTTTATATATCGCACATCCCGTTCAAAAGTTTACTAACTCAAAATAGAGAATATAGAGAACATTGTCAAGAGAAGTAAAAGAAAATTTAAGTTAAGGCAATATGCTCCTTTTTGGATATTAATGGCCAAATAATATAATGTTGATTTAATAAAATTTTACTGGCATCCTTCTGAGGTATAAATCAGATTAAAAGGACATTGTTTTTGTAATAATTGTTTGTTTTGTAAACATTTTTTGAAGACAATACAGTTTTGAACGGGCTGTGCGATATAAACAAGGATCTTACTATTATTTGAGGTTAGAAAGTATTTAAATAACATAAAACATAATCAAAATCATTTGTCATCATAAATTATAGAGGTACTTACGTGTTTTGATATTATTATCAGGAAATAATACGTTTAGTTAAACAGGTACGCTGCCAGGCAAGTTCTATCGGCGGGTCTTTGCAAAAGTTGAAATCTAAAAATACAAAACTACGTTTACATCTTAGTTGTATTTACGAATAAAGTATTTGTGTGTAATTTCTGACTTACCAGTTAATTGAATAATCGCATTAAATACATCCAAATGGTAATTTAATATTGTAAAAAAGCAAAATTCTTTTAAATCACTTGCCAGGACAGCCCGGCCAGCTTCTTTGTTGACAAAATGGCCGCGGTATTATGATTTAAGCAATGTGAGTGACAAAGAAAGCCAATGCCTGGCAGATGTTGCTTTCTTTGTCGTTGGTCCTGGCACGTTTAAATTTGACTGTTGCCTGTTTTCCCATACAAGTGACACCCCCGTGGAATAAAGTAAAAACATACTAAGGCGCGGTCTCTTCAGTTATAAATAAATAACTTTTATCTAACAAATAACCATCTAAAAGATAAACAATCTAGAGCCTGATATCTATAGGATATAACATTTGGGTATTTTCATACAAAATAATCCAATAGATAACAGTTTGGAGGACGGCCGCCTACGGACCGGTAGACACTCCGTAGAGAAAGTGTTGCCAATATAAGATAT